TTTGGGACCTGGTCATAAGCACGATTTTCAAGTACTGATCTATTTCTGGGAAGAAACGCCTCAGCAATAAACTTAGTCAGAGTATTATGACAAGTAGAAAAAGTTGTTTCACAAGCAACAGCTGGTAAAGAAAGATTGCGAGGGTATTCCAAGGGGAGAAGATCTCTTCTTGTGTTTTCTTCTCAGAGTTAGCCATCTTCCTAAGTTGATCAAGGTGGCAAACTGAAGGGTGTTTGTAATTGTCCTAGATAAACTTCCTTGCGGTGTTTTTGTGTGCTGATCATAAAGTGAAGACTAACACGAAGGGTAAAACCTCATTGAGGTCCTTTTTCAATTTCATTAAAACACAAACAAACACAGTTTGCCCGAGGTGTCGCTTTTATTTAATGACAAGTTTTTCAAGACATTGATGTTAATAAACGTCCTCGAATTCGTCATCATGGTGAAAATGTTCATTTTCCTGATCTTGGAGCTCAGTTCCCAGGTCAATATCCATGTTATTCTCTGGCTTCTTTCCTCTCTTTCTCTCCATCCCACTGCCAACTCTCTGGTCACTCTCTTGGGCGATTAGACGATTTTGAACAATTTTCTGCTCGCCTCGTCGACGACGACGACGCCAAGCGTCACTGAAAACAGAGGAGATCGACAGTGCTCATCTTTTAACTTCTTTTCTCAGTCTGAATATGAATTCTTTCCTTGTGATTGCCAGTTAAATCTTATGCTTGTACCTAATTCTCGCGTTTGGGTGTTGTGTCTCAGGTCTCTCAGAAACTTTGGAATAGTCTCAGTTAGGAGGTGTTCAAGAGAGAAGCGAAATCGTAAGTGTTCCTTTTGATCTGGACTGGGTTTTTTTAACCAAGTAGTGTTACTGAGATTGGATTGACCTATTTTATTTTCATTTTTGGGTGATGGCGTCACCACACTGACATATTTATGTGGCAAGCTACTCACCTTTCGTGCAGGAAAGCGGCAATTAGGCAAACCGCCAGAAAAATGGCTGTAACACGTCCCATGTCAATATTTTGTTTCTGCAAAGAACCAAGAAAATGTAAACTGTTTGAAATCTCTTGAATGAACGTAATAATTCAAGAGGAGATCGTGAACATCCGCCTCCTTGAAGACTCCGATTGACTCACTCAGACAGGATGGTGCGAGCCTTTCCGAGAATCTTTCAATGCCGGTTATAACATAACTAACAGAAGGCGTTTTAACGTGGAAATATGAAAATAGTCCTCAATTCCTAACTTGGTAAGAGTCATTCTACTTACTGAGCTAAACTCTTTGAATCTCCACATTCCCATATCGAAAAAGAGAGAAGCTAAAACTTCTTCTCCCAATAAGGATTGAGAAGCTTGGTAAAAGCACTGTTCCTGTACCGAGAGTTGTTTTGTGTTCTCCCCTGAATGATTTTATGGGCTTAACCATGTTGAAGAAAAACCCAAAGAGACTCTTAATAGTGTTGTCTGGATGAAGGGTGCAATGGCAATTCTTGAGCCGAAGAAGCAAACACTTTAGACAGCACAAGTTAATAGCGAGTGGAACACAGTAATTAGAGAGGGGTGATGAACTAACTCATGATCACGAACGACCGCGATAGCTGATGTAGTAAAGTTTTGCGATGTTTCACTTTAGTTGGAGAGGTGGATAGGTGATAACTCTTGCTTTAATAATGTGGGCTCAGTATCAAGTTCTTAATAAACCAGGCGTACCAATTCACCCCACACGTAAACACTTCAATCTTGTTACTCAGAAAAGGTTACTGAAGACGTTCGGAGGCCAAATTTTTTTTAAAATATGGTTTCGCTCATTTTCCAGCTGAAACATTAATCTATAGTTTGATGAAATATTAATCTTAAATCAAGTAATGGTAGTGAGATATCGTTGAAAACCTGTTTTTGAGATTATTTGAAAAAGCGGAAAGTGTATAATCACTTTTTAAACGTAAGCTACTCCTTTGCTTTCTTTCGCGGTAACTCCAATTACAATGATCTGCATATTTGTTGTGGTAAAAATAGATTTGCTCTTTCGCAACCGTTAGCCGGGCCATCGGCATCGGGGAAGTTTGGAGCAAGAGTCCGTAAATAAATGGTTTGAAGGATTTTTACGAAAATTTGCCGAAACGTTCCAAAATTTCTGAGACTTTCTTTATACACCAAATACTATACTCCTCCATTTGCGCCTTCTTGTCAATTACAATGATTTGCACATTTGCTCTCTCGCGACCGTTAGCTGGGCCATCAGCATCGGGGAATTTTGGAGCAAGAGTCCGTAGATAAATGGTTTGAGTTGAATGAAACAAACGTCTGGGTGAGGTGTGATAAGCTTATAAAACTTAAGGAGCCGAAAACTCGCGCTTTATTTTTGCGTGGATTTCTTAACTTCGCGCGATTTAATAGGGTATGTAAATTTGAAGGACTTTTACGAAAATTTGCCGAAACGTTAACTGGTTATTAACACGCCAACATTTCTGAGACTTTCTTTATACACCAAATTCGGATCCTATACTTCTCCATTTGCGCCTTCTTGTGTTAGGTGTTAACACGAAGGTATGTAATTCGATTTATCAAGCATAGTCAATTTGCATACAAGCCACTATTATCGACAAAAACATTGCTCTTTTAGAGGCTGAATACCCGTGTGACACTCACTTAAACAGCCGAGGGTAGGCAAATAAATAGAATAGAAGTTTTCTTGGGAGAATCAAAAGGAAATACGGTAATTAACTGTCAGCTGAAGGAGACTGGCCAAGAGTCATGTTAAAAGTTCTTCACTCCTAGACTTCAGTATTATCATGATTGCCAATTGGTATTACGTCTTGGAATAAAATAGTAGCGTAAGAGGCTCATTAAGAATATTATTTATGGCACTGAGAAGGATCGAGAGAAAGGCAACAAGTTTATTTGAAAAATTAACCAGCGGGTAAGAAGCAGTGTTAGGATGAAAGTGCCAATCAGCTGATGACTTTTACAGCTAACGGTTTTAATTTTGGCCCTTTTACGACTTACGGTAAAAAGAATGTTAAAAATCAGTTTTATTTATTTGAAAACGTTGAAAATTAATTTTCTTTGTTTTAAACCACATTTACGACCGACCGTTTTCTTCTCAGGTCAATCCAGGGGTATGAAAAAAAAAACATATAGCAAATAGCATACTGCTTTAGTAATAATACAGTCAAACTTCTCGTCAGCGACACCTGAAATGTTAAGTTAAGTGCTGACTTTCGGGAGGTGGTCTCTTAAGGGAGGTGGTCGCCGACCAGAAGTCAGGCCACAGCTCTTATCAAAACCTGTAATGATAACTTTTAGCGGCTTATTCAAGGAAAAAAAATATAAGGATCTATGGCGATTGTTTTGTATCTCACGAATTACTTAATACAGCGTTTGGGACAATTCACGTGAAAGAAACTTGGCTCGTGACATTTGCAATAATTTCCACTTTCCGCCCGTAAGAGATAAAGCCTATTATTTGTGAAGTGGTCGCCAAAGGGAGGTTTAAAACAATTCGAAATTGTAAACAAGCATCTCTAAAGGCGGTCTCTTACGAGAGGTAGTCGCTTGCGAGATGTTTCATTTATAGTGATTTGACTTAGAAATTTTTTTGGTATTTTGAAAAAGTGATCGCAAACGAGAGGTGGTCGCGAAGGGAGGTTCGATTGTATAACTATATGCATAGAAATATAATGAATATAAAACAGTCTTAGATTTTGACATTCTCAAAATGAACTGACTTTTTTACGCCTTGAGATGAAAATCCGTTCATTTTTACGTCTAGCGGTTCAATTTTGGCTATTTTTACGGCTAATTTCGACCTCTTTGAGGCCTTTAATGATATCTCATCATCAACGACGATAATTCTAGCAAGAAACTTTCTTTGTTCTGATAGAACAAAGAGAGTTTCAAAACATTCCAGAGACATTCTAGAAGAATGTGTCGAGGACAACTTGAAATCTCAGGGCCTGTTTACATGGAGGTGGGGGACACCGAGGAGGTGAGGTAACCCGCCTAGCCGTGGTCGAAAAATAGCCCGCGTTTACATACAATCTTATAGCCACGGGATGCCGGGGTGAAGTTTCTCGAGGTTGTGGTCGCGCTTGCAATTAGGGTAAAATAGTGCTGAAAAAACGTGATTTATACGTTATGTCATTGAGAGTGTCCGGCTCAGAGATTTCTGTCTAAAAACCTTACCTTCAAAACGCAGAATGACTTTAAGCTTGCTACCAACAAGTGGGTATCCCAACTGATTGAATGATAAAACAAGAGGCTACACGGGGCCTATATTCTGACCGGATTTGCGGTTCAGAGGAAACAAATTGAAGGCCTTGCGGTTTTTAGCAAAATTGCTGTTGAGTGCTTTTCAATGTTTACTTAACATAGAGAGTTATGGAGATTAAGACTTTGGAACGAGTTGATGCCATGACAGATTGGAAATGCTAAAATCACTTGATGAAATGCGGGGACCAACGTAAGTACCGCGGCAAAGTCAACAGAAAAGGAATAAATCACTTTGTGACTTAGTTTGAGTCACGGAGAAATCCAGAATGATGATAACCATCCAACTCCACAGAATGATAAACGCATACCTCGGGCGTTCTACAAACCCAGAAAGCTACCTTAACCATATTTGCATTTCTAATCATCACGTAATGAAATACTCGAGGTTACTTTCATGCATTTGAACCGTTGTAAGTGTATTTGCAATTAAGACAGCTTCGTAGGGTATCTGGTCAATTTGCTACCACAAAAACTTGCCACCATAAAACTCGCCACCAGTGAGAATCAAATCGCCACCGGCGATTTGACTTAAACGTTTTGTGTAGCCTGTCGTATAAAACTTGCATCAAATGAAAGCTGAGATGTAGTATTATATTGCGAAAAGGGAAAGGGACACAGCTTCTAAATGATGGAAAGTTGATAGTGATACCTAAAAGCGTTTTACAAGTGCCTTTGGTCTTGTCGCAAGTTGACCAGCAAAAGTCAAAACGACCTACAAAACAGTCCCAGTCAGAAACGCATTTTTTTCTGTTCCAGGAGTGTTCGCAGAAAAACGTGAGGGTACATCAGATCAAGATCAATGAGTTTCACCGTCGAAGTAGTTGTAATTCCATAATTTCCCAAGTGTACATCACATGACTGCGCCAAGCCGTACGGAGTGCTAGATGTGTCTAAAGTTGCGTCCAACAGCGAATAAGCAAAGTCAAATTTTTTGCGTCTGTTGTTGATATACACTTGAAAAGACGCACCTATGACAGGGCACTTTGCAACAGTACGCGCATAACCAAGGTTGCGAGCCATTTTTAACAAAGAAGAGCCAACAAGATTCATAGCTCTGTTGCCGTGGTCATTGAGTAATTTTTGCAGCGGTTCAAATACATCAGGCAACAATGAAAGTTCTATTAACTCCCAAGTGTTCCCAAACACGTCAGAAGCAACAAAAGACACTTTCTCCACAACGTATAATCCACCACAATACCCAAAGAAATCTACTGTGTGTTTACTTTCATTAAGGACCATTAACATCATGGGTTCTACAAGTTGCAGTAAGGAGATAAATGTTCTTGCTTCGGACGCTGAAATTGTCTCATCACCGTCCCCGTCACCAAGTGACAGCAAACGAAATACGAGTTTGTTGCAATGAGAGCAGTCGCCAAACAAAGTCTTCACTCTGGAGGAGACATCTTCTTGAAATGATGATACAGCTGCAAGGTCGGTTATTTTCTGCCTCTTCTCAAACTCTTCAAACCAGCTCATGTAAATTTTCAAGATAACCTCCTTTCCCTGCCATTCACCGTTATAAATCTTCTTATCAGGCGCTGTACTGAGGCAATTTCCAAGATGAATACTGTTTTTTGGGCCGCAGAGATCGGGGTATAATGGACCTGACACGTCACCTGCCTTATAAGCTGAGCACTGAAATAGTGACAACAATAAAATCACATGAACTGTTGTCTCAGAATTTACAAAATTGAGAAGAATAGGAATATGTCTATTAGCAATAGAACACAAAACCTCTCGTTGGCGACCACCCGAATTGTCAAGTCTAATTGATGCCTTGCGGGAGGTGGTCAGTTAAGGGAGGTCGTGGCCAACCAGAGGTCAGGCCTCAGCTCTTTTCAAAACCTATATGTATTGTCACTTTCTGCCCGTAAGAGATAAAGCCTATTGTTTGTGAAGTGGTCGTTAACGGGAGGTTAAAAACAACTCGAAATTGTAAACAATCATCTCTAAAAGTGGTCGCTTACAAGAGGTAGTCGCTTACGAGCTGTTTCATCTATAGTGATTTGACTTGGAAACTTTTTTGGTACTTTGAAAAAGTGGCCGCTAACTAAAGGTGGTCGCAAGGGAAGGTTCGATTGTATAACTATATGTATAGAAATATAATGAATATAAAACGTCTTAGATTTTAACATTCTCAAAATGACACGTCGTAGATAGGAAACGTTTTTACGGTTGACTGACTTTTTTACGCCTTGAGATGAATATCTGTTAGTTTATAGGTCTTGGCTGTTTTTACGGCTTACATTCGACTCCTTTGAGGCCTTTGGTAATATGTCATTATCATCAAAGATATTTTTAGCAAGTAACTCTCTTTGTTCTGATAGAACAATAGATCGCAAGCTTTCAGAACATTCCAGAGACATTCTGGAAAATGTTTCGAGGACAATCTGAAATCTCAGGGCCCGTTTACATGCAGGTGGGGGACCCCAAGTAGGTGAGGTAACCCGCGTGGTCGAAAAATAGCCTGCGTTTACATACAATCTAACAGCTGCGGGATGCCGGGGTAAAGTTTTTCGAGGTTTTAGTCGCGCTTGCAATTAGGGAGTTGAGATGTCATTACGGCGACATGTGGTAAAATGTTGCCGAAAAAACTTGATTTATTATCCTGTAGGATTTTCGCCAATAACTCGATGTGTTAACCGTGGACAGGCGGACTGGCGGGTTACCCCACCTAGTCAGGTCACCTCACCTACCTGGAGTTCTCCCACATTCATGTAAACAGGCCCGTAGTGACAAGTAGATGTTCTGCAACATCCGCTGGCCTACAGTCTAGGCTGTTTACTAACCTTTTTGGGATCTAAAATGTTTGGTATCAATGTGTGTTTGAATGCCTGGCTAAGGATATTTAGTATGCTGTGACACAAAATGCCAGCCCAACTTGCACGAAGACAAGCTAAGCAGAGAGAAGAGGACCTGCTGGAGGTTTCGATTAAACACAATTGGGCAGAGTGGGCAAAAAGAGAAAGAACAAAAGAACCTAAGCATACCTTCAAGTAGGTATGCTGTAATGCACAAAAGGCCATTTTAGGGAGTCATTAGTCTTAAAAGTAACATTTAGATAAAACTGATGTTTTGATTGCATTTTTCCGAAAATAGCTTTTTTCGGGGTAATTTTGTTGGCCCCTCATTTTTTCCAAAGAGTATTTCAGCTATTGACACCAAATTTGGTACAGAGATTGTTTATGTAATTTTTCTGAAATATTACTGGTTTTATAAGTAATTTGTCTTTTGAAAAATCTAATTTCTTCTTACCGTATCACCCCTGAATGAAACATTGAGATCCTGGGAAGAAACACCTCCTGAGGTCCTGGGAAGAAAAACCTCGGCAATAAACTTAGTCAGAGAGTATTATAACAATTAGAAAAAGTTGTTTCACGAGCAACAGCTGGTAAGAAAGATTGCGAGGGTATTCCAAAGGGAGAAGATCTTTTGTTGTGTTTTCTTCTCAGAGTTAACAAAGTTGATCGAGGTGGCAAAGTGAAGGGTGTTTATAATTTTGTACTAGATAAAATTCCTTGCGGTGTTTTTGTGTACTGATCACTAAGTGAAGAAAAATACGAAGCGGGATAAAACCTCATTGAGGCTCTTTTTTAATTGCATTTAAACACAAACAAACACAGATTGCCCGAGGTGTCGATTTTATTTATTAACAAGTTTTTTAAGACATTGACATTATTCATCATGGTAAAAATATTCATTTTCCTGATCTTGGAGCTCAGTTCCCAGGTCAGTATCCATGTTATTCTCTGGCTTCTTTCCTCTCTTTCTCTCCACCTCAGTGCCAACTCTCTGGTCACTCTCTTGGGCGATTGGACGATTTCGATCAATTTTCATCCCGGCTCGTCGACGACGCCAAGCGTCACTGAAAACAGAGGAGATCGAGATCAGAGTGCTCATCTCTTAACTTCTTTTTCTCAGTCTGAACATGAATGATTTCTATGTGATTGCTAGTTAAATCTTATGTTTGTAACAAATTTTCGCGTTTTGGGTCTCTCAGAAACTTTGGAATAGGCTCAGTTAGAAAGTGTTCGAGAGAGAAGCGAAATCATAGTGTTCAGTGTTCCTTTTAATCTGGACCGGGTTTTTTTTAACCAAGTAGTGTTACTGAGATTGGATTGACCTATTTTATTTTCATTTTTGGGTGATGGCGTCACCACACCGACATATTTATGTGGCAAGCTACTCACCTTTCGTGCAGGAAAGCGGCAATTAGGCAAACCACGAGAAAAATGGCTGTAACACGTCCCATGTTAATATTTGTTTCTGCAAAGAACCAAGAGAATGTAAACTGTTTGAAATCTCTCGAAAGAACGTGATAATTCAAGGGAAGATCGCGAACATCCGCCTCACTGAAGACTCCGATTGACTCGCTGAGACAGGATGGTGCGAGCCTTTCCGGGAATTTTTCAATGCCGATTATAAAATAACTAACTGAGGAAGGCGTTTTAACGTGGAAATATGAAAGTAGTCCTCTATTCCTAACTTGGTAAGAGTCATTTTACGTACTGACCTAAACTCATTGAATGTCCACATTTCTATATCGAAAAAGAGAGAAGCTAAAACTACTTCTCCCAATAAGGATTGAGAAGCTTGGTAAAAGTACTGTTCCTGTACCGAGAGTTGTTTTGTGTTCTCCCATGGATGCTTTCAATGGCTTAACAATGTTGAAGAAAAACCTAAAGATACTCTTAATAGTGTTGTCTGGACGGTGGGTGCAATGGCAATTCTTGAGCCGAAGAAGCAAACACTTTGACAGCACAAGTTAATAGCGAGTGGAACACAGTAATTATAGAGGGTGATGAACTCACTTATGGTCACGAACGACCGCGTTAGCTGATGTAGGAAAGTTTTGCGATGTTTCACTTTAGTTGGAGAGATGGATAGGAGATAACTGTTTCTTTATTGATGTGGGCTCAGTATCAAGCTCTTAATAAACCAGTGCGCCTGCATGGAGAGGATCGGGGGCGCACCAGTTCACCCCACGCCAGAACTTTCAATCTTGTCAATCAGAAAAGGTTACTGAAGACGTTCGGAGGCCAAATTTTGTAAAAAAAAAATGGTTTGCTCATTCTCCAGCTAAAAGATTAATCTAAAGTTTTGTGAACGATCAAGTAATGATAGTGAGATATCGTTGAAAACCTGTTTTTGAGATTATTTGAGAAACAGCGGAAGGTGCATAATCACTTTTCAAACGTAAGCTACTGCTTTGCTTTCTTTCGCGGTAACTCCAATTACAATGATTTGCAAATTTGCTCTTTCGCGGCCGTTAGCCGGGCCATCAGCATCGGGGGATTTTGGAGCAAGAGTCCGTAAATAAACGGTTTGAATTGAATGAAAACAACCGCCTAGGTGAGGTGTGATAAGCTTGTAAAACTTAAGGAGCCGAAAACTCGCGCTTTATTTTTGCGTGGATTTCTAAACTTCGAGCGATTTAATAGGGTATGTGTCAATTAATTATTAATTATTATTAACACGCCAAAATTTCTGAGACTTTCTTTATACACCAAATACCATACTTCTTCATTTGCGCCTTCTTGTGTACAAAAGTATGTAATTCGATTTATCAAGCATAGCCAATTTGCATATAAGCCACTATATCGACAAAAATATTGCTCTTTAGAGGCTGAATACCCGTGAAGGATCGGGAGAAAGGCGACAAGTTTATTTGAAAAATTAACTAGCGGGTAAGAAGCAGTGTGAGAGTGTCAATCAGCTGATGACTTTTACAGCTAACGGTTTTAATTTTGGCCCTTTTACGACTAACGGTAAACAGAATGTTAAAAATCAGTTTTATTTGTTTGAAAACGTTGAAAATTAATTTTCTTTGTTTTAAACCACATTTACGACCGACTGTTTTCTTCTCAGGTCAATTCAGGGATATAAAAAAGGGACATATAGCAAATAGCATACTGCTTTAATAGTAATACAGTCAAACCTCTCGTTAGCGACACCTGAAATGTTAAGTTAAGTGCTGATTTTCGGGAGGTGGTCACTTAAGGGAGGTGGTCGCCAACCAGAGGTCAGGAGACAGGTCTTATCAAAACCTGTAATGATAACTTTTAGCGGCTTATTCAAGGTACAAATCTAAGGATCTATAGTGATTGTTTTGTACCTCACGAATTACTTACACAGCGTTTGGGTCACTGAATTCATATGAAAAAAACATTGCTCGTTAATTAGGACCAACCTGTGACATTTGAGAAACAGCGGAAGGTGCATAATCACTTTTCAAACGTAAGCTACTGCTTTGCTTTCTTTCGCGGTAACTCCAATTACAATGATTATACAATACACATTTCCACCCGTTAGAAATAAAGTCTATTGTTTGTGAAGTGGTCGCCAAAGGGAGGTTTAAAACAATTCGAAATTGTAAACAAGCATCTCTAAAGGCGGTCGCTTACGAGAGGTAGCCGCTTACGAGATGTTTTATTTATAGTGATTTGACTTAGACTTTTTGGTATTTTGAAAAGTCGTCGCTAACGAGAGGTAGTCGCGAGGTAACGTTCGACTGTATAACTGTATGTATAGAAATATAACCCAACCTGAAATCTCAGGGCCTGTTTACATGGAGGTAGGGGACCCCAAGTAGGTGAGGTAACCCGCCTAGCCGTGGTCGAAAAATAGCCCGCGTTTACATACAATCTAACAGCTGCGGGATGCCGGGGTAAAGTTTCTCGAGGTTTTAGTCGCGCTTGCAATTAGGGAGTTGAGATGTCATTACGGCGACGCATGGTAAAATGTTGCCGAAAAAAAACCTGATTATTATCCTCTGAGATTTTCGCCAATAGCTCGTTACGTTAATCGTGGAAAGGCGGACTGGCGAGTTACCCCATCTAGTCGGGTCACCTCACCTACCTGGGGTTCCCCCACTTCCGTGAAAACAGGCCCGTAGTGACAGGTCGATGCTCTTCAACATCAACTGGCTTACCGTCAAGGCTGTTTACTGAACTATTTGGGATCTAAACTGTTTGGTAGCAATGTTTGTTTGAATGCTTGGCAAAAGATATTTAGTATGCTGTGACACAAAATGCCAGCCTAATTGTTTAAAAAGAAAAGGCCCTTCATTGTTTTGCACGATATAAGTGTTATGTCATTGAAATTGGCTGCTTAGCTTTCCATGCAATAAATATTATACTTAAGGCCTCTCTGGCAAAGTCAGCGTCAAAAAGAGGTACCACTTTCTATTAGTAATCTCATAAATTTGGAGGATTTACGAGAAGAGCTTTCAATAATTTTTCCTGTTGAAGTGGTTTACCAACTAATCTACTCTACTCTGGACAATTAAATTCCTCTCAAATACAACCAAACAGCTTAAATTTTGCACACAATAAGTGACTGAATCGTAACAAAATGTGTTTGAGCC